TCACCGTCTAAATCCGCTCAAGATTTGATTAAGGGTTATAAAAGAGCACACAGTCTAACTAATTTTAAATGAATGACGATTATACCTTCATCAGCCTTCGAATAAGACTTAAAATGCAGTCCTGTGAGGCTTAGTAATAAAAAGGATGTCCGGTTATTCGTCATTAGCTACAGTAAACGAGCAACGTTATGCTGCTATATTATATTTGTGTTCTAAAACAACAAATCCCTTTTGAGATCGAGCTGAACTATTTTCGTCATCATCATTACAAACCTTCACAAGACCAATGCTGAAAATAAGCTTCACCCTAACTAATATACCTATCGAATGCTTCTAGTTATTTGTAGCGTTCACATTACTTATGTTTTATATTGATGGGAGCTATTGTGTTTATATAAATAAATATGTAAGTAAATTCGTTCATAAAATAAGCACAAAGTTAGTTAGAGACTCAACGATATCTTAAAATTGAGTGGCATTTGAGTATTTTTAGCCGTGAGTTAAATATTTTTAAGGATGTAGGTAGTTAGTTGTAATAAACGACGGCTTTAAACACCAAAAGGCTTGCTTACTATGTAGAAATACTGCACAGTACAAATCAATGAAAAATAAAATATTTACTAATTTGATTATTAATAATTTGTAATTTTGAATATATTACTTATGCATATTTAATAAACCTAGCAAGCTAACAGAATAGCAAAGTGGCGAAGCAATCAGCTTTGTAGCGGTTTCTAACGGTTGTCGTTGAGCAATCAGTTTCAAAATAGGTTCAGATGCCTGGGTGATCAGTAATCGATTGCTGAAAACAGAATTTGAAAATTCAAAACCGTTCTCGAGATAATCGTGGGACAGACGGACAGACATCGTGAAATCAATAAGTGACTTCGCAAGCTTCGCCACTTAATAATTACAGTAATAAAATAAGATTTAAATTATTCCTATCTAAACAGTGGCGCATCTAAATAAAGCTAGGTAACAGAACACGGAATTGTGAGTTCTATGAAAAATGTTTGGTTGTACGATGTCCTTAATATTTTAATTTTCTCTCATTTTGATAGTGTTTTACTGTCTGTCGTCGATTTTTAAGAAAAGATAAACTGGTATCATTAAAATATTAGCTTTTAGCTATACGGTGAGTTGTAACGTCCAGGCAGTCATCGCCTACGCTTATTGTGATATCGCATAATACAAAGAGCTCAAGCTATCACGTAGCAACTGTCTCATATTTCGAAATACTTATGATCGCAGATTTTAAGTTAGACTAAGGCCTTTCGATTAATTATAATAACTATAACAATCTTCTCTTCGTACTCCAGTACATTTATCTTCAATGTTCAATAAATTATTTTATGTTACTAGCAGTACGCTTGTGGAACTTTTTATACGCGGTAGAGCCATGCTGAAGCTATATTAATAGTATAGTTGTAGAACGAATGGGTCGGTTCGACCGGTAAGGACCACACTCTCACAGAATACCAGCGTAAAATAGCAGCTTCATGCTGCCGTGTTTCGAATGGTAAGTGTAGAGAACCGGAGACCTTTTTTACTGGAAAAGAGGCATTCTATCTTAGTCCTCACGGCTAACAACGCATCTGCATTTTAATTCGCAAGCGAAGATAGATGTAGATATCCATGGACCAGAGCAACCACTTACCATCAGGTGGACTATGTGCTCGTTTGTCACCCTTATTCTGTAAAAAAACTTCTTGCCACTATAATGATTTCTTAAATAAAACTAATTTTACGGATTTTATCGCGTATATTAACCTATTTTTATATTCCCGACGTTTCGGGTGCTTTCCAGCACCCGTGGTCACGGGGGACTGAGGTGTTTGACGCCCTGCTGTCATAGTTAGCCCGGCTACCTTCAGTTTTTTAATATTAATTTTTGGTCCGATTTACGCAGAATGAGCTTACAGTATCTTGAAGTCTAGCAGTGGTATACTTGGGTTTGGATTTGATTTTATTAATTATGGGATCCCAAGCAGATGGCAGCACCCATCCATCTTCTCTATTGAAATTAGGATGTTTTTTTATTTCAATAGCCTCGCGAATCATCCTTGGGAGGAATCGGTGTTCTTGCCACTACATATTTGCCGTGCTTAATCCGTTTTTTCCTTCAAAAATCTATTCAAAGCTAAATATTTAGATTGGAGTGGATGGGAATTATTACAGATTCCCATCATAGTTCCCGTCCTTTCTTGTATCTATCCTACTTTCCTCAACTGTCATCATCTTGTGTGTTTATTTTAATTTTATTTTTTAAAATATTTGTATAATTTGCGTACACCTCCTCCGAGTCATTCTTTGTAAACAATGCTTTGCGTAATAAAGTTGTCTGGAAGAAATCGCTTCCAGAGCAATAAAACCGCTTATTTTATACCTTCTTTATTTATTTCATTTCGTGTTTGTTCAATGTGTCTTGGTGTACAATAAACAAATAGCTATTCCCCGCGACTTCGCCCTCGTGTAAATTAGGGTTTTAATTTTTTTTGCGCGGAAACCCAATTCGTTTTCTAAAATAAAACCTAAGTTACTCCTTATAACATCAGCTAATGTCAGAGAAAGTCTCATCAAAATCGGCCCAGCCATTTCGGAGATTAGCCGTAACAAATAGACAGCCAAACAAAATTTTTAAAAATTGTGGTTTTGTTATAAGTAACGTACTTTCATATGAATTTAGTAAAAAGCTGTTATTTTGACATTACAAACAGACACTTCTATTTTATTTATCTGTACCTATAGATTGATTAAAAACTGCATCAAAATTGTTTACAATTTTATAATAGCTGTCATTTCTTCATTACAGCATATCAATCCCACTGTACAAATAGACTTCCCCATAGAATGCCTTATAAGGGGGTTTGCCATAGTTGTCACGCTTGGGAAGAGGGGTGGCGACCGAAGTTTTTTCTCCCTAGCTGTTATAAGGAAGACGCCACTGCCCGTTTCCGGGTCAGTTTCCCTTTGTCGTATTTATTAGTTTTTAATCTCAAGCCTAAATACAATATTTTAATCGATCCACATTTTAAGGGTGAATATAGGCAGATTTTCTAAAGTTAGAAAATATTTAGGTATAAATAATAACCATAATTTTGCTTTAAGTATATCCTCATCACCATGGGAGTCCTCTTAATAACACTTTATGGTTAGATATTCGAAAAATTTAATGCGTCTTTCATTTAATCCAAAAGTAATTGTACCAATTTTCAAGTTATCATTTAATAATTTTTCACCATACAAATATGAAAACGCCCCGTAAAATAAAAAGGTATCGTACAAACTGTAACATCTTTACACTCTCTGAGGATTTAAATTTTTCAAAATCCTAAAAAATGAAGCCAATTGTCACAATTTAATGTTTCAATGTCCAGCGGTTTAAGCTGTGCGACATATCAATATTTTTCTTATACAATTTGAACCCTCGTTTTAAAACCGGATAGTAATGAAAAAAAATTTTATTATTACTATTTTATTATAGGATAGGGTGACAAAGGAGCACGTAGTCTACCTGATGGTAAGTGGTTGTTGTGCCCATAGACATCTACATCTATCCTCGTTTGGGAATCAAAATGCAGATGCGTTGTCACCCGTGAGGACTAAGATGGAATGCCTTTTTTTCCAGTAAAAAGGGTCTCCGGTTCTCTACACTCACCATACGAAACACAGCAGTATTCAGCTGCTAGTTTACGCTGGTATTCTGTGAGAGCGTGGTCCTTTCCCGGTCGAGCCGACCCATTCGTGCTGCAACTATACTACTAATATGGCTCTACCAATTATGAAATTTTAAATGAAATTTCAATTCAAAAGTAAGAAGACGTGGTACAGCCATGCTGCAGCTATATTATGACTGCAGTACGAGTTTAATATGAGATAACCGTGGAAGTACCTATAATATTGCTGCAGCAAGAATTGGTTGGTTCGACCGGGGAAGGGCCACGCTCTCACAGAATACCAGCGTAAAATAGCAGCTTAATGCTGCTGTGTTTCTTCCTATTGGTGAGTGTAGAGAACCACGGAGACCTTTTTCTTTCTATTTGATCCTTTATCGAGGATATATGTAGGTGTCTATGGGCCAGAGCAACCAATTACCATCAGGTGGACTGTGTGTTTGCCTCCCTTATTCTATATAAAAAAGTATATGCATCGATTCTGAAATTGAAAAAATACATGAATTAATTTTTTTTATCTCCATACAAAATATGTGAACACCTTGTAAGGGGTTGTTTAAAAATCTTACAATACGTTTTTATTTATTTTATTTACACTTTACATTGTAGGTTTCGACATACAATGCTTGTACCTACTTTCAGTAAGTTTCGACCCCGAGACGGGGCAGATAAAATAAAAAAAATCATAAATACTATAACTGTAACATAGGGTTGAATTTTCCAAAATTCTTTCTTAGTGGATACGTACGTCATAAAAGGCGGCTCCAGTCCTAATTTCAGATTTCTACGTTTAGCTTTTTGGGCTGTCATGTCATTTCACGATGATAATAGGTACAATATTTTTCACACAAACTTTGCATCCTCGTTTTAAGACCCTAAGGGTAGGTTTTTGAAGAAATTCAAATATGATTTTTTTATTTTCTATTCAAATTTTTCAAACAAAAGAAAACTACGTAAATTTTTCTCCACACAAATTTGAACAGCCTCGTAAGGGGTTATTTTGAAAAAAGTCCAAATTGATTTATTTTATTTATATTCTTATGATTAATTTTCCAGTCAATCAACCTCTTTTTTAAAGTAATTTTTTTTAAATATTTGACACATGATATTTCTTTATGAGATTACTTAGATCTAAAACGTAGTCCGCCTTATTCCAAAACACGGACTTAATATAGTACTGGAGTTAGTAATATATTTAAACCATAAACTAAGAAAATCGTTATTACAAAACGAAGATTATCTCTGGTTCAAGGATTATCTATGGTATTAAAGTTAATCTTTCGAGACCCCTAGTTTAGCTATGGTACTAACCTTTCTATATAGTTTGTGGTACTCTATACTAACCTCAATTTCGGTACTTCTTAATTTGAGGTGAGCGTTGTTTTCATTTGGTGTTATTAAAATCGTTAAAAATGGATATTAACATGATTGACTTGATGGATTTAGAAGATTTGGACATGCTAGACACCACTCGGCGACCTGATAGACATCGACATCGTGTGAATCCGTTTGAATTGAGTGACGAAGATTTTAGGTATAAGTATAGGTTCTCAAAACGTTTCGGAGAAAAAATAGTGGGTATCTTACGTGAGCATTTAGTGCACGACCCTCGAGGATGCCCATGGAGTCCTGAAATTCAAGTGGTTTGTGCATTATGCAACTGGGCTCGCCATGAAGTAAGTGCTGTTTATAATCTTGGTGGGGTCAATGTACCTAACATTACGCTAGATAAAAAGCCAAATAATACATATTATTGTTTTATTCGTAGATTCAAGACGATACAGCTGATTTACATGGTGTGTCTCAACCAGTAGTAAGTAGGACATGTAAAAAGTAGCGGAAATTTTGTCACGGAAGTCCCGAGAATTTATTAAAATGCCTACTACTTTAAATGAACAGCAGGAAACCATTAGGAAATTTCGCAGTATTGCTAATTTTCCTAAAGTAATTGGCGCAATTGACTGTACTCACATACGAGTAAAGAAAGTGAATGCTGATGGGGGTCAGTTATATATTAATAGAAAAGGATTTTCTTCAATTAATGTACAGGTAATATACAAATATTTTAAATAGCTGTGATTGTCTCTTAATAACTTTACTTTATCATAATAGAAAATAATTTGTTTGACTATCTTATGGTAATAAATATATATTAAAATAAACCAGAAAAACATAAAGTACTAATGAGCTCTTATTTTACAGGTGGTTTGTGACGCTGACCTGAAAATCATGGACATTGTTACCAGGTGGCGTGGTAGTGTACATGACTCCAGAATATTCCGAGAATGTAGACTAAAACAGAGGTTTGAGGCTGGTGCATTCTCTGGAATATTACTTGGTGACAGTGGCTATCCTTGTACCCCTTACCTATTTACACCGCTGCTGAACCCCACAACACCACAAGAAGAAAGATATAATAGGAGCCATATCCGTACCAGGAACACAGTGGAAAGATGTTTTGGTTTGTGGAAGCAACGGTTTCGTTGCCTATTAAGAGGTATGTTTGGAGATATTGAAACAGCAAAAAAAAACAATTGTTGCATGTGCTGTACTACACAATATGGCCATCGACATGAGAGAAGATGTGTTTTCTGGTGAGAGAGATAGCATTGAACAATATTCATCTGAACCTATAGTACAAAGATATATTGCACCATCAATAAGGGGAAATATTAGAAGAAGACAGTTTATTGAAACTCATTTTCAGTAGGTAAACATTTTTTTTTACATATTTATATAGCTATTTATAATTAAAATTAATAATTATATTTATAAAATTGTCAATTTTTTTTCAATTGTCTAAAGCTATGTATATATAATTTATTTTATTTTGTTATTCAGAGGCCAATTTTGGCTATAAAATTACATTAAGGATCAATAAATGTATAAGACAATTATAATAATATTTCTTTTTGATTTCAGAGATAATACCCATTTATAAAGGAAAATATTTCTGCAGAGCCGTTGTCAGCTGTCAAAGAATAACGACTACATATTCACCAATATGAAATAAATTCAGGGGAGTATTGTGATAATATTTCATTTATTGAGCAAAATGCTTTTATTTAGGCTATAAATGATTGTGTTTCAGGGAAAGATGCGGGGTACAGCACATTCCACATCAATATGAAGCTATATTATATAAAGATTTAAGTGCTTTAGAGATATGTTTAGATTTTTTAATAAATATCGTCCCTCCTCTACATTCACAGCCGGATTTCCTTTCCAGAGGTGCACGGGTCCACGGGGAGTAGGACTGTATGATGACTAAGTAATTAGGTTTAGTTTTTTTTATTATAGTTTTTTACTATTGTATATTATATTTCATTGTTATGTAAATAAAATGCATATTAATTATAATTATTTATTTTAATTATTAATAAAAGATGTACAAATATTTGCAGCAATTTAGTACCTGAAAATAATTGTTTCATATATGAGGATATTTACAAACATGTATCTGATATAGTCTCAAATATTTAGTTTTTTTTATAGGATAATGGTGATAAACACAGTCTACCACACACACACACATACACACACACAGTCCATCTGATGTTAAGTAACTGCTGTGGTGCATAGACGTCCACATCTATCCTCGACTACAAATCAAAATGCAGATGCGTTGTCACCCGTGTGGAGTAAGATGGAATGCCTCGTTTCCTGTAAAAGAGGTCTCTCTCATACAAAATTTGTACAAAAATTTATCCAAAATTTGTCAATAAACAAGTTTAAATGTTTTATTAAAGAAAAATTTTATAAAAAGGTTATTATAATATCAAAGAATACATAAATGAGAATATTGGAAATACTGGAATTGAGGTGATCGCCACCATGGTGGTTCTATTAAAATTCATTTAAAAATTGTACAAATAAAATTATTGTTAAGAGAAATATGTTTATAAAAAAGTCCCGCTGGGTTTCTTACTAGTTCTTCCCAGGACTGAGGTATTTTCCGAACCAGTGGTAAATAAAAAATGTCTTTCAATAAGTATTCTGTAATAATCTATATTTAATAAAAATCATTCTATTCTATTCTCATTCTATAAACTCACCATAATAAACACAGCAGCATTAAGCTGCTATTTAACTTGTGTTTTTCTGACTTTCTAATAAAAATATTTGTAACTCTAATTTTCTAATTTTTAGGTTAGCTATTTTAATATTGTATTTATGTTCCTCTTCCATCATTTCCAGTTGTCTTTTTTTAAAATCTGTGTTACTTTTTACAATTGTTTGGTGTACATCTTCTCTTCTGTAAAATGAAATGGAATACTTAATGTAAGTTTTGTAGTTATTTTAGAAATTTACAAAGTATTCTAGAGTAATAAAAGTGCACTTAACCTTGTACACCAATTAAAGAAATATTTTTTAATTATTTTTAAATCAATTCATATTAAACTTTGCTTTTAATATTTGAAAACATGAAACAATTTTCAGTGTTTAAATACTAATTTTCACATTTTAAAAAGTATGTAATGTATCAGACTATGTAATTTTTTCAACTTACCTATTTTGCAAGCTATTTTTCCTGTTTTTAATTTTTGTTATACCCCTAGTAATAATATCTTTATTGTTGGTTATTTTCACCATTTTGGCACTTTCTTCTGTATCTGTAGTTGGATCTATCTCTAAAAATTAATATAAATAAAACAGTTTTAGAAAATTAACATTTATAATATTTACAAACTTGTATGCATATGATTGTAACTATAATAATAATATATTTTGCTTTTTAATAAATATTCAATCAGTATTATTTACCTTGCACATATACAACATTGGGTTCTGGATTTTCTACATTTTTAACTATAGCTGTGTCTGTTCTTTCAAAATTAAGGCGAGGCTTAGGGTCAGCAACTTCTTTTGATGTTGTAGCCACAGTCACTGGATCCTAAAATAAATCATTAAAAAATTTATTAACATGTTTTCCTGTCACCTGTCATCTCTATTTTGCCCTTTATTGAATCAGGTATTTTCTATGTTGTAGAAATATTATTATGATCCAAGACAAAAGGTAATTTAATAAATTATTAATTATAATACCTAATAGACAAAAATAGAAAATTATAATCGGACTGTGTAGATAATCTAGTAAAATGTGTGTTATGATATTATATAGACCACTATATATGAATTTGTGACATTTCAATTTTGAATATAATTAATTATAAAGAAATTTATGTTAAATTGTTACTAAGTATATTAAATTTTGAATATTCGGAAAATAATTTTGGATTGTAAATTGTATGCTTTAAGAGTAGATTTCAGAGCACTACCTAGGTACTAAAGTAATGGAAAATAAAGTTCTTTAATTTTAATTAAATTTGTAAGACATGTAAGTAATTTTATTTACCACTGCATCACTATCATAATTATTAACTTCAACGATAAAGTCGTGAGGGGCAATGGAAATTATTTCCAAGTCCTCAAGAGAAGGTGATGGAGGTTTTCCGCCACCCCCGGTCTTTGATTGTTCCCTCCTATATGTGTATAAGTTTGATTTAGCACACAACTTCATTCTTTTCCAAGATAATTTCAATTCACCATCTGATCGGCGTTTACCTGTTATCTCATTAAATCTAAAAAAAAAATACGAAATCACGTAAACAATACCGTACCTATTTGCACACAACAAATGCGATAAGTACTTACTTATTAGTTATATTCTTCCACTCTTTTATTTTTTGAATATTTACCGATGTTTTTGTCGACTTATTCTCTATTATATGTGCTGATTGTGAAATAAGTGTACGTAATATTTCCTATAATAATAAGAACATTCCTTTTAGTTGAAATAAGGATAATAGGAGGATAAGAGTATTGCTACGTACTGACAAATAAATTTCGATATTTCACTAACTTTTTCTTCAGAACTCCAATTTTCACCCCGTTTTTTCTTTTGTTCCATTATTATATAAATATAACTGTAATAGCAAGTCCTTAATTAATTATTAATAATTTAATTTACTTATTATAAGGCTGCAATATAAACTATTTTGAACGTCTCGAATCCCGCGCTCGCGTTACCTCTGTAATTCACTACATTTCACGCTAGAGTTGTTAAACTGAAAACAACTTGATATAATCAAAAGCGCGTCAAAAGTATATGTCGTGCTTGTTCAATAGATTTTAACGTAAACAAATAACAATGTATGATATGTTTTTGTATTGATGGATAATTATTTAAGTATAATTAAATGTGAAAATAATATTAATATTTTATGAAACCGAACGTTGCATTGAATGAAACCTGTATGAACGAATGATAGTGTCATTTTTTGTTTTTTATCTGTGAATGATATTTAATAAAATACTAACGTTGGTATTAACTGGTCCTCGGGTAGTCTGCGTTTTGTAATAAGCACACGTTTTGGTGCTGGTATTAACTAGAATATTGTAACAAACCTGGACTTCTTACTCCTAAACTTAACCCAGTACTAAAACATTTTTTTGGAATAAGACTGTAAGAGTTTAATATTATACTCTTTGACTAGATCCTTACAACAAACACCTAAGCAGGCTTTTTGCAAAATGAGCAAGTTCGATTGCTACATTTTTCAAAAATGTTAATTGAATATTTGTTATTTTTCGTTACAAGTTCGGACATTTCTATAGTTTGCTACATTTTTTATTTAACGATGCAATTATCATTACTTACACTGGTGTTATTTTGCGTTTACAAGAACATTCCTGTTAACGCGTGTCCTGGGATCGAGTGCATGGTGTGAGCAATTAATCCGGGTAGTCTGGCATAGCGGGGATGCTCCCGGCGACAATCACTGACAACGGCGCCCCAGGGACCCGACGAACAAGTTAAATCTTCGCTAACTTTGTGCGGTCGCGCGTGGAAATGTAATTGTGCCAAGCTATTGTCTTTATTTAGTGCATTGGAGCTTCTCTTTAACTTGCGAAATTTCAAGTCGTAGCAAAAAAGTTTGAAATTTGTTTCGCCGTTTCGACTCCTTTGGATTATTGTGTAAGTGGTATATTTACAAAAACTTTTTTATTTCTTTCAATATTAATAACATATTTAATCCGTATGAGGTGTGGCTGGTCTTGTTGAAATAATTCATCAAATACAAAGCGTTAGGTTATATCAATAGGGGTATCTAACGGTGTTTACTCGTATATTTGCGTAGTGTTGTATCCACACCGTACCAACCGAACCGTCTCTATGTGTATAAACCTTTGGCTGTGTTTATCAAGACCTATTCACATAAAGACTGGAATGTTCGTGAAAATTCTCCGTTTGTCCACGTTAATTCCCCAGTCATTAACGACATGCTCTAGCCTCTACGGGAGACGACATTTCGCTTACCGGAATGGGTGCTAAACGTGTTGTCTTCCTTTGTGAATGAATCTGTCATTATGCCGGTATGAATGGGGAGAGAAGAGTGACTGAAGAGTGTTGAAAGTTCTTTTACTGATTGCGGTGACGCCTCAGGGAGTCTGACTAACAAAAAACAAGAAACGCACGGTAGGAAGCGATGATTGTTTGTTTTTGTTTGCGATCGTAACTAATGTTTAAACATGCTCGTTGAGCTGTCAATTGCTGTCAGCCATCACACATAAGCTGTCAATTGGTTTTAATACATTGCTGTTTGTATGAGCAATGAGTATTGATCCTAGGTGCTAATGTTTGTTGTTGAATCGATAGTATTTATCTTTAAATATGTGTTTGTATCGGTAGTAGGGAAAGTAATTAACATGGTATCTAAAGTTTAAATTACGAATAGGGATAACAAACCAAATTTTAAATTCGGGCTTGTTTTAGGTATCTATTAAAAAATTATCGGGCTTTAAGCATTAATGTGTTAAGATATTTTTGCATATCGAAACTATTTTCAACTGATGAAAGTGGAAATCTTTTTTTGGTTATGGGCTGAGGTTCTTTTAAAAATTGAGCAATCGAATGGTTTAGACCAACTCAACAGATCCACAATGTGAGCACATAATTTTAAATACCATTTTTTTCTCTATAAGTATTGCTACACTTCATGGGTTGACTTTTTATTCCTTTGTAATAGGGAATATGGAAAAACGATTTAAGAATAAATAGATAATATATTATATTTTGTAATTTGTATATATATAGTGTTTATTACCAACATGAATTATTAAAATAAAAAAGAAATGAATCGACATCTACATCGGCAGCCAATGTCGATTCGTCATCATCATCATCACCATTACAGCCCTTCATAAGTCCATAGCAGAACATAGGCCTTCCCAAGGAATGCCACAAAGCACGGTCCTGAGCCACCTGGATCCATCGACTTCCTATATTTCTTACCAGGTCGTCACTCCATCTAGTGGGGGGTTCGCCCTACACTTCGCCTACAGGTACGAGGCTGCCACTCGAGAACCTTTTTTCCCAATCGGTTGTCGGTTCTTCGAGCTATATGGCCGGCCCATTGCCACTTCATCTTATTAATCCGATGGGCTAGATCGGTAACTGTCGTTGTACTGCGGGTATCTACGATAATATATTGTTTCTTGAAAATTGAAATTATTTATCTTATTTGCCGATGATATAGTCCTTATGGCAGAATCGCTGGAGGACCTAAGCGCTAATGCTTAATGACCTTCAATAGTGTCTCCCAACGGATAGGTCTTAAGATGGTCAAAACAAAAGTCATGTGTAACGTCCATGTCACACCTATGCCGATAGTTGTTGGGAACACTAAGCTCGACGTTGTTCACGAGTATGTGTACCTGGGACAAATAGTCCGACTAGGTAGGTCCAACTTCGACCAACTCCGAGAGGTCAATCGACGGATTCAACTCGGCTGTGCAGCGTTCGGGTAATGACGACACATTTTCTCGTCAGTTATACCCGAAAACGAGATTGTACAACCAGTGCCTGTTGACGTCTTATGGATCTGAGACGACATCGCTTAACAGAGAATATATGATATTAGTGTTTGTTGAAAAATATTGCTAAATCATGTTTCTCCGATAGAACGAGAGACACTCAGGGAGGAAGAGAGGGGTACGGGTGTGCACATTTTCCGTATCTTCTTATAATGTACCTTGCTACTTCATTATCATTATCTATATCTATACAAATAAATAAAATTGAAGTGTCTGTTTGTAATGTCTAAATTATAGCTTTTTACTAAATGGATATGAAAGTATATACGGTACTAATAACAAAAATACAATTTTTTAAGTTTTTGTCTGTCTGTCTGTTTGTTCCGGCTAATCTCCGAAACGACTGGACCGATTTTGACGTGATTTTCACTGCCAGATAGCCGATATCACAAGGAGTAACTTAGGCTACTTTAATTTTAGAAAAATAATTAGGGTTCCGCGCGAAAATATTATAATCCCAAATAACACGCGGACGAAGTCGCGGAGAACAGCTAGTAAGAATATAAAAATGTAAGATATATTGTGTATATAATAGAAATAAGAAAAAAACATTCCGAAAACATGTGAAGTTCACCAACACGGATCGGGGCAGCGCGGTGGACACTTCCTTGCCCTAAAACTCTCTCAGAAATGAGGGGAGGCATGTGCCCAGCAGTGGGACGCACATAGGCTGTAACTTTAATTTTTTTTATCTAATAAGGGGCATGTTAAAAAACCCACAGTTCATGAGTTTTGAAGACGTCTTACATTGTTTAATAACTAACGTGTTTCAACATTTATACTATAAAACTTATTATTTATATTAATTGCATATATTTTTTTAACTTTCACTATTAGGCAGCCATTGCACTTATTCGGAA